AGGGCCTCTGGGTTTAGGGTTTAGGGATCAAGAAGGCGGTTTAGGGTTAAGGGTGCAGCATCTGGGTATAGAGCTTACTTTTATAGGGTTGGGATTAGCAACTCTTACGGTTTAGGCTGCTTGGTGTGCGCGGCTGGGGGATCAAGGTGTACGGGAGAGTACAATAGCTTCCGCCTGCGTGGGAGTTCATGTGTCAAGAGTCTTCATGCTTCTCGCGGCGATGCAATCCCACGGATTCCCAATGAACCCTTGGAATGACTTCCATGTAAGATTTCACAGCCAACCATTAGACATATAAAAACTACATTTTATAGGGTACGTTTTTAGGTCCTCAAAATAGTACGGCGCCCTCATAAACAGGACCCTGAAAGGGACCCCAATTTAGGGCATACACATGATCAAGACCCCTGAATCTAGCCGCCGGATAAAACTCACCATCGCTGTGATGATGATGGTGATGATGATGATGATGGTGATGGTAATGATGATGATGATGATGATGATGATATACATGAACAAGGTAACGCCACATGAAACGACCCGCGCGATGGCAGGGGTGCTTTTTAAGCCAAAAAGGCCGTTTTGCCGAGGTAAATGATGATTTATGGATGACTAGTTCTTGTGTTGGGAGACATCTTTGCGCAACCTGGAAAGCTTTCGGGTCTTGCTTTCGTCATTGCTTTATCTTTGGAACTAGTGTTTTGGTGGTTTTGCCGCTGCCAAAACGAGGTCTTGCGTTTGATGGCTTGACTGTCGGGCAGCCTGGATTTCGGTCGAGGTTTGGGTCTGTGGGGTTTCGGTGTTGCCATGCCTTTGTAGTCTTTGGGGGGCATTAGGGCGAAATGGCAGTTTTGCCGAGCTAACACGATGATTTCGCTTTATCAGTTCTTGTTTGGGGAGGCAGCTTTGCGCAAGCTCTACAGTTTTCAGGTCTTTCCGTCGTCATTGTTTCATCTTTGGAATTAATGTTTTTCGTGGTTTTACCAAAGCGAAAACAAGGCCGTGGGAAGTCGGATTTCAGCTGTGAACTCGAAGGTTTTGGGGCTTGCACTGCTTCGCCGGGGCCTGTGATGGTTTAAGCTTCTAGCTTGAGGGTTTTGCGTTTGCATGGGATGTTTGTTTGGAGTTTGAGGGTTTGAGCTCAGATGCTATGGAAGTTTAATAGTATACTACTATAGGGTTACAGGAAAGACTGGCACAGTGTAGGTGTCTCGGTTTGCAAACGCAAACTAGCTAGAGTGTACAGGGTGTAAGACCATGCAGTACCGGTGCAGCAGCAGTGGCAGCTGCAGCAGCACAGCAAAGGTGGCAGCAGAAATTGCGGTTGTAAGACCATGCAATACAGGTGCAGCAGCAGTGGCAGCTGCAGCAGCAGCAGCAGCATAGCAAGGGTGGCTACTGCAACAGAACTAAAATTACAACTAGTAGCACTGCTACTCGGGGGACTGCTCGATAATGGACGTCGTCAGGCAGAACGAAACTACCCCCCCACACACACACACACCCCACCCCAGAAGCAGACAAAAACAAGCATAACCCGCGGGTCAATTGGTAGTGCGTTAGCATGAGCAAGCCCACTGAACCTAGCCGACCTTGATGAAACTCTTCAAGACTGATTCTCTTGCGCGGGAAGGTTCCGAACCAAAATCGCGTGAACCAGCGTTGCTGAATGACGTGTGGAAACGTCATCGGGCCCGATGAGAGCACACCAGCATATGCACCACATTGACGCTTCCTGAACGCTTTGCCAAAGCCACAGTCTACAGATCCCGCAACAACCCCAAACAGCCAACCCTGAACTCTTAAACCTGTAAACCCTAAACCCCT